TGGTGATAATAAGCACCCTTGTCTGACTCTTGTGTTTACTCCAAACGCTTCGCTGAGTTTTCCGTTGTGGATCACTTGACATGTGCCGTTGTCGTACAGCTGTTGAATAAGGTTGATGAATATTTGGGGTAGTCCGTAGTAATCGAGTAGTTTCCAAATTACTTCGCGGTCAACGCTGTCGAAGGCCTTCTCAAAGTCTATAAAGTTGAGGTAGAGATTTGATTGCCATTCCATGCTTTGTTCGATGATGATGATGCGTAGAGTTGCAATTTGGTCAGAACATGATTCGCCTTTTCTGAATCCAGCTTGTTCTCGTCAATGTTCTGTATTCAGTGCGTCCTTGATTCTCTCCAGGATGATGCGACTCAGGATTTTACTTGGCATCGATAGGAGCATGATTCCTCGCCAGTTCTTGCAGAGTGATAGGTCGCCCTTCTTTGGTAGTTTCACGAGGTCACCTTTCCTCCAGTCAGTAGGCACCTTTCCCTCCTTCCAGATCTTTTGCAATAATGGAATCAGCATTTCTTCTGTCGTTTCTGCGTCCGCTTTCAGTGCTTCCGGGGGTATTCCATCTGGTCCAGCTGCTTTTCCAGCTTTCAGAAGCTTGATTGCATTCAAGACTTCAGTTTTCGTTGGAGGATCGGTGTCAACTTGCAGTTGTGTACGTGCTGTTGTTGGTATTTCTGGACAAGTTGTAGGTGGTGGTCGGTTCAAGATTCCTTTGAAGTGGTCCGCCCATTGTTTAATCTGTCTTTCTTCTTTGGTAATTGGGTTCCCTTGGCTGTCTTTTATAGGTTTCACTTGTGTTGATCTCTTCCCGGATAGAGACTTGGTTATCTGATATAGTGTCCTCAGGTCCCTTTTGCCTGCTGCATTCTCAGCTTCAGTAGCCAGGTTGTCATAGAATTGTCTTTTGTCCTTCCTGGCACTCTTCTTCACCTCTTTGTCCAGTGCTGTGTAAGTTGAGCTCAGCGTCTCTTTCTCTTGTCCATCTTTGCATTGAATCATTCTCTCTTTCACCATTCTCCTCTCCTCTATTAGCTTCCAAGTGTCCGTTGAGAGCCATTCCCTGTCTTGTTTCTTCTTTCTTCCTAAAACCGTTGAACACGTTTCGTTGAAAATTACCTTCAGAGAGTTCCAATGGTCTTCCACGGATGATTCCTCAGTGGTGCCAGGTAGTGTTTCCTGCTTTGCTCTCACAATTGCAGTGAAAATATCCTGTGTGATTGTGTCCTTCAGGTTTTGAGTGTTGAACTCGCATTGTGGCCTATCCCCAGGTATCCTAGAGGCTTTCAGCTTCACCTTGAAAGTCCCTTGTACTAGTTAGTGGTCTGAACCCACATCTGCTCCTCTCCTCGACCTTGTGTCCATTAGGCTCCGTCTCCACTTCCTTGAGATTGAAATGAAGTCTATCTGGTTTTTGGTGTGTCCATCTGGTGAAATCCATGTTGCCTTGTGTATATCCCTGTGTTTGAACACACTGCCACCAATCACCAAATCATTGAAGGCGCAGAAGTCTGAGAAGAGTTCACCATTTTCGTTCATTTCACCGAGGGCCTCACGACCCATGGTGGGTTGTCTTCCTGTATTGTCTCCTCCCAGTTTCGCATTCCTGTCACCCATCAGGATTTTGATATCGCTCTTTGGGACGTTGTCCATTACTGCTTGTAGTTGACTGTAGAAATCCTCCTTCTTCTCTTTTTCTGAGACGTTTGTAGGCGCGTAGCATTGGATGATTGTAACCTTCTTTCCTTTTGAGTTGAACCTGGCTGTCATTATCCTGGAGGAGATTGGTTCCCACTGCATGAGAGCTTTAGCCGATGTTGGTGACATCATGATGGCTACTCCCTCGGTGTGCTCGTGGTCGTCCTGATCATCCTCTGGCCAGCCCCTTGGAAGGACATTAAAATTGTACCTATTCCTAAGTCGTCTACTGTGACATGTTTTAAATTTAGACCCATTGCTATTACTTCCCCTTTTCTGAAAGCTATGGAAAAGTTGCTCTTACTTAAACTTCAACCTTCACTTACAGCCTTTAACGATCCCAAACAATTCGTCTACAAACACAGTAGAAGTACTTTAGATGCAGCGGCAGTCTTGTATCATAACATTGTCTCCAGCTTAGACAAGGGGGGTAAATTTGCTCGCTGCACCTTTCTAGATTATACATCTGCTTTCGACTCAGTACCTAGGGACATTTTACTAAACAAGCTTGCTGAAACTCAAACTGACTGTTGGGATGTCAGATGGCTCCATTCTTATTTCTCAGGTAGAAAGCAATACACTGTATGTCAGGGAAAGTCGTCCACTTCATTGCTTGCTGAGGCTGGTGTCCCTCAAGGCGCTGTCCTTTCTCCTTTTCTGTTTTCTTTCTTCTTGCATGACTTGCCTCACTCCGATCACCACAGAACGTGATCTGTTTGACCCTATAGATGATCAGCAAGATAACAAGCATATCTGCTGAGATTGGTAGTTGTTGATCTCTCGCATGAGTAAATATTGCTTTGTAGCCACTTCGAAGTGATCCTAAAATACAGAACAGCTGTATCGCTCATTTTCAGGCTGAGCTCATCAGAGGTATACGCAGTTTGACTCATCTTACAGAGCCAAATCATTTCAAACCACCGGCTCTCCAGCTGGCTACTTCAGCGAACTGGTCATGCCAAAGTGTGAATTTGACTTGTGATAACACCAGTTCGCCTAAGTAGCTATTCGGAGATCCAGTGGTTTGAATTGATTCGGCTGCATGAGATGAGTCAAACTGGATACACCGCTGATGAGCATGGCCCCAAATGAGGAGAACGGCTTTTCGGTGGATTGATCACCTCAACCTAACTAGCAAGCACTGCTAGTTGATATGAGTGTTAAGCGATTACTCACTACAATCAGTCAGTAGTATACACTTTTATTCCAAAAATGAACATCAATTTATTCATCATTCCAGAGTTTGATAGAATTGTCAGTGGAGATAAGAAGAGTATTAGAAGAGCATTGAATATATACGTTACAATTCAAAAAATTATGGATAAGTACACGAAAAGAGTAAGCCTACGTAACCCCTTGATGAAGTTGCCCGCAAATTACAGGTATTATTATTCGTTATTCTGATGTCCATCATCACTACACCCATACCACTTGCAATGACACAAATGTAGGTCGACCAGAATAACTAACTGCTTACTTTTCAGACCAAAAGATGAATCAACTTCGCTGCCGATTTACCTCCTATCCATCATTGTGTACTGAGAATTTGCCATCCAATGCATTTACCATTTCAGAATGTTTTCCTTTTAATGTTTTATTTTATAGAGTGATTTTAATGTTTCTGTCAGATCATAGATTCACTTGATTTGTGATACTGACGTCTCAAGCTTAGTGACGTTTGTGTTTGTAAACTATACTATAAACATGATATCAGGTTAGACGGAAATAGATGAAAGTGAAGTGTTCAGTCGTTTACAAGACAGAGAACGATATGCATATCTGAGAGCTGTCTAACTTCGATGAAAGAAACAGCTAATGGAAAGAGCATCACACTCTCTGTAACTCAAGTTAGATCTTTCAAAAGTTTTAGCACAAATTTGTCTTGTTTTCGACTGAACATGATTGTTAAACTTCACTTAGCCTAATACATCCTTGAATTGAAGTCAGATGACTGGTGGAAATAGGCAGGAAACACTGGATCTAGATTTCGTACTTATTATGGCTCATCAGCAAGGTTCACTGGCAACGTCACTAACTGCAGCACTCAGTGACACGGGTTCGAATCTTCGAGAGAAAGTGAGCTAATCCAAGATTTCGGAAATGTCCATTTGATGAGTGCCAACAAACATGAAAGCGAGGTCCGTGGCTTCCTGCCGACTGTTTCCAACTATCTATCAACATTTCAGAGTGAATCACGATAGTGAGTCACCTAAATTGATGACCACATTACAAACTTATCTGGAAGAATTCACTTTGCATCAAAAGATAGACAAGACGTATGGCTCTTGTAACAACTTAATGAATATTCACAGTAATAAATCTCCAGTCGGAATACAGGGAAACGCATGAGTTGGCCAAAGTTCTTCAGATGTTCTCAAATAACTCATGGAATGAAATGAAAGTGGTATGCTCTACACATTTTAACGATGATGCATTTTGCAGTCCATATCGCCACAAAATACAACGCATTTTCAGATAATAAATCGCGATAAATCATGTGAAATATTAAAACACTGAGACGCATAGATTTGCAGTTTTCGTTTCGAATTAGAGTAGACTTCATTAGCTGCAAGACTACTTACTTCATAGACCTTGGCATTTCCATAATCTGTTGGCATGTGGACGATTGCATGATGTTTTCTTTTGTGTAATAGTTAGCGAATCGAAGGATGTATAACATCAGACAGGGTCATAGGAATCGTCTTTAAACAGAAATCATCATAGGATTCATCTTGTGGTTTTAATGGCTGTGGAATGTCATCATCCCTTTCTTACCTTAGTCTTGGTCAAATCACCAGTCAATCAGAGTAATAATTTGTCGCCAACGTTAGCTGAATCGCCTACGAATCAAAACAATCCATTTCCGCTGCCCTTGGCAGATTTTGATGTGTTTATAAAAAATATATAAATATGACGGACGCTTGCCTAATACAATTGCATACTAACAGTCACAGAGGCCAATGAAGTGCAAGGTGCCACGGACGAATGGGTGCATCCAGCAGGTCAGCTGAGTTGTTCATTGTGTCGGTATTATAATACTCACACGCATGAGTTCACTTAGTCAAACCAGGTGTCGACGCTATCATATCAATTGGCGACAAGTTCATTTCAACTGGCGATATAGATCATACATAACACAGTGGAATCCAAAGCAACTCTGATAATAAGTTAACAGTATCACCCTAACATTATTCATACGAAATCATTTAATTCATAAATGTTTATCCTTAATTTCATGTTCTTTTTTATCAATCATATATCCGATATAGACATGCCCTGATTTCTCTTCATTTCAGTGGGCTTGTTGAGGCGATAGTGTTGGTTCTCTTCTTCACATTAGATACGACGGGAACAAAATTTCCATTAGATTTATTCTTTCTGATGTTACATGTATGAATGTATAAATTTATTATTCTTGCAAACATTTATATATATATATATATTACTTTCGTTAGATTATTAATATCTGAAGCATTTAATATCTCCAAATATTTGATTAGTCATAATAATACCAATTGAAGGGAACTTTGAGAAATATATTTTGTAGCTTGTTCGCAGTAAAGTAGATAGTTCTGAGAAATACTTCATGGATAGTGACTAGTAGGGGAATCCATGACCAGCATTTCGTCCTAGTTCCGACTCATCAACTGGATGTATTTGCATTCCCTACACATTCATTGTTTTCCCAAATTAAATTGAATAACTGCTGACACCCGTTGCACAGTAGGTAGCTCTCATGGCCCGAATGGTTTATTGGGTAGCGCTCTGGCGTTTGAACTTACGATTACTGGGATTGAGCCCCAGTGGGGTCACCATCAATCACTGCGGATTACAGACGCGTCTAACTGACGAGTCCCAAAGTGGATGAGGTGCAACTCCTGGATTCCACTACTAGTCACTATCCACCAAATTTCTTGAAACTGATCCTCAGATATCGCCAAAACATCTACACACATAAGGAACCAACATCTCAACATGAAGTCAAGCATTTAGTTTCAGTCAGTCAGCGGGAAAGTAAATCAACGAGATTTCGATAATTCATAAATAAGTTGATGTTAGAAATTTACAACAATCAAGTTCCAGACTGTGAAGGATTAGTCATTCCAATTCGCAACCATTTTTAAAGTCAAAAATCTACAGTATCAGTGTATAACTGACAATCATACAATCGAAACTGGCAGTACACTTGCATGAAATTAATTTTGAGATACCGGCTGACTTTTTAGATGTATATCGAGTGTAGAACTATGTTATATTCCAAGGAATGTTTCACATCACTGAAATTCCTTAGTCACATCAAAATATTCCGTTTTAATGTGACTAACAATTCTGGATGACATCTGAGGCATTATTCACTAAAACAGAATGTGACACCATATTAGGACAACAATCATGATCAAAGCTGGTCATAAGTCATAGGTGCTTGCATAGAATCGCTCACGACCAACACTTCATTCAAGGTATCGCGCCATGATATGGAGATTGTGTCAGTGGTTCGGTGATGAAACGATCGGCAGTCACACGGAAGATCCGGATTTGATTCCTGTCCGGTGCCCTTTAGGAGCATCACTCAGTTTGCCAGGAGTTAGTAACTGTGAGGCAGGGGGAAGGCTGAGTGTGAGTCTAGCAACCTTACCCTATAGATATGATGGAGAATATTTGTAGCTCAGTTGCATGATTTTGATATGGTTGTGTTCTCTGAGCTGGATAGTTTATTTGCAAAGCTTTCATCGCCATACTAGGCGAAATCTTCAGCGGATACTTCAATTCGTTGAAGTGAGCTTTTAGATTTCTCCAATAGTTTATAAGTCACCTCTCTTGGTGACCTGACCTTAAATGTGGTTGGTTGTTTTCGTTTGTTTTTGTACTTTGTAGGCCACTTGTATTAGAACTGATTATTTCTTTGGCTTGAAATTTGTGTGTGAGGTTTCTTTCTTATCGGTTGTCGAATGCGGTGACATGACATCCACTCCCTCATATCAGTACATACGGACAACCACAAACATCAATTCAACTGGGACAACGTTCAAATATTAGACAGAGGAAATACCAAGAATGCAGAGAATTTTTGGAAGCCTGCCTGGTATTTAAGTGATTCATCAATCGGTAGACACATCGAAATAAACAAAATTTACCAATCGATAAGAAGGAAACCTCACACACACACAAAGGGTCGAAGTTCAAGTCAAGGAAACAATCAGTTTCAATACAAGTAGCCTAGAGGTTGTGAAAACACACAAAAACAACCGATCACGACGTTCAAGGTCACCAGGAGTGATGGATAATAAACTCGTGGAGAAGTCTAAAAGCTCACTTCAAATTGAAGTATGCACTGAGGCGAGGATGTCACCTAGTAAGTTGATGAAAGCTTCGCAAAACGTCCAAAACGCTTGAAGCCAGATGTCCCCCTGAGGCACATCAAGAATGAAAATTAATGATAAGGTGACAGACAGAATATTTTTTGATCAAAATAATATTCAAGTATACTCAAACATTATGATTTTCTGTTTTATAGACGATATTAGCATCTGTACTCACAGGAATACCGTTCATTGGGCAAACGCTTACATGGGGACTTATAGTGACGGGATCAGCTGTGGTGTTGTACATCTTACTAATCACAATAGGTGCAACACTACGAATTGATCTGTACCGTGGTTACACTGCAGTTTTCATATACTGTGTTACTGTCATGGTTGTAACTTTTGCTGTTTCAATTGGTGTCTACTATGGGACAGGACTTGTAAGTGAACAATGAAAATGTAAAATATTTTTTGTTTGTAATAAATTTAAAATAAAATGAAATAATTACACTTTTTCCATTAGTAATCAGAAGGTCATGAGTTAGCATCCTGGTAGGTGCGAACCATTCAAGTGTCGCGAACTAGGACGAAACAGCTATCCAGTACTCCCTGGTTTTTCAATGGTTCAGCTCATAATTTATTATTTACCAAGCTGGATTTAGCTAATTACTCACAAAAGAAATTTTCGGTAGATTTGGGAGTTTTTGAGGCGACACAATGTAAAATGTTTGGGGAATTAAGACACGTCGCCAAAGCCTTCGAAACACTGAAACTCCACAAAAGTTAACTCCGAAACTGCTTAATTCAACTGAAAAACCCGAAACCACCTCTATACCCTCTAATGTCCTCAGAAGTTTTTATTTGAGTTAATTTTTCCAAAGAGATAAGGGAATGAGTGACAACTCAAACCAGATTGGTTAGAAGATTTCATCATGAGCTAACATCGGTTAGAAAACCAGTGTAGAACGAACAGGGAGTACTGAACAGCTGTTTCTTCCCAGCTTGAGACTGCTCACAGTACTCACACACTGCAGGTAACTACTACCTACCTGAATAGGGCCAATCGCTAGTGAGTATCTGATTGATATTCAAGCATTGGTTTGTAGGGATCTGAATGATTGGTTACAAGATTTCATCATGAACTGGTATCAATTAGAGAACCATTGGGAAACCTACCTGGTAGTGCTGTACAGCTGTTTCATCTTACTTCTCTAACCAGTGTCAAATCATGAGGAATTTCTGTAACCAATCAGTCAAACACCTGCAAACCAATACTTGAATATCAAACCAGTTTCAGAAATATTTAATGCAAATATTAAGTGTTGGTTTGCAGAAATTAGATTGGTTACAGGTCGGCTCACTAGTTGACACCGGCATTGAGACTCAATGGCTGAATGGTCAACATTCCCAGCCTTTTGATCTTAAGGTTCCGGGTTCGAATATAAGTGAGTGCGTACCACTGAAGACTCCTAAACCAGAACACAATACAGATTCTTAAGCTTGTTTCACTGTATGATTATTTAACCTTGTGCAGAATCTTAACATAACCGAATATTCGCCGATATTTCAATGTTGATTTCGTCAAGAATTCAGTCATTCAGAGACCAATGAAAACCAGGGAACACTGAGCATCTTTTCCATCTTAGTCTGCGACTCTCCTGCAGCGAAGAACCAAGTCGACGCCAGGGATTGAAACGGGAACTATAAGATTATCATACGAAGCTCTCTGTATATACGGACACTTGAGTCGGAATTTATTGACCTATGAAACTGAACTATACCCACAATTTCAATATTAGTCTCCAGCTCATTGATGCCTAATGGATGGATGTTCTGAAGCTGAACTGAGAAGTCCTGATCAATGGGTTCCATCATGACAACGTGAATTCAGTGAGATTCAAAGGCTTCAGTTGGGGGTTACATTGTATCACGAGTTCAGACAGTCAGAAATCACGGATCACTGGATATCTACACTGAAATTAGCCTAAATCCCTACAGAACCCCATAATTTAAACCGATAGTGTATCACCTGAAGCAGTGTTGTTCCTTCCACGATCCCTTTCATCCATTTCCTTCGATAAGCGTCATAGGTCAGATTCTAACCTTAAGTCACTAACCAGTACACAATTAACAACACCATCAAACAGTTTTAACCCAAATATATTTGTGAATTTCGCCGTAATTGCGTTCTCTGAGCTGGGTAGTTTATTTGCAAAGCTTGCATAGTCCTACTACGCAACATCCTCAGCGAATGCTACAATTTGAATTGAGCTCTTCAATTTCTCCACGAGTTTATTGGTAACCTCTCCTGGTAACCTGACATTGGACGTGATTGGTTGATTCAGTGTATTTTCTCATCCTCTAGCTTGCGTGTATTGGTATTGATTGCTTCCTTGACCTGTACTTTGAACCTTTGTGTGTGAGATCTCGTTCTCATGGACTGGGAAATCTTGTCGATTTCAATGTATCTATTGTTTGACGATTCACTGGAATACCAGGCTTCGAAAAATTCTCTTGAATTCTTGGTATTTCCGCTGTCTAATATTCGAACGTTGTCCCAGTTAAATTGATCTTCGTGGTTTTCTGTATGCAGCGATATGAGCGATTGAGTGGATGTCATGTCTTTCGATGGCTAGCTTATGATCATGGATACGAAGACAAAATAGACGTCTACTTTGAAAAATATAGTGTTTTTGCAACCGATGTTGGTTTCATCACCTGTCGCTGTTGAGTCTTTTGGTTGACACTGAGCCAGACGAATTGATTGATTTAGTTGATTTGTGTGCGACGTCAAATCCAAAAGGTTTGAAGAGTCTTGCATTGATTTCTAAGATGTCCTTTATATGGTATGGCGATTTTCTCTGTGCTTTCCTTGAGAGACTTTGATATGTTAGATTGGCTTTTTGATGAAATTCCGTGGATATCCGTTCCTTCGGAAGATGTCCATGAGATATTTTTTTCTCAGGTTATGAGTGCTGAAATTCTGCCTGGTTCTCTTGAATAATGGTCATATTCACCTCTTTTTATGTGCTACTGCGTTGTTTCTGTTGTAATTGAGTATTTGTCCTTCGTGAGTAGGTTTCCTGTAAACTTCAGCTTCTGTGAATGTTCGGTTGACAGAACTTTGTCCTCGGATGCCTCTTATCCTGTGAATTTGATGTCATTTAAGATGTTATTTATTGAGTGGTAATTCTTGACCAAGTTGTTTCTTCTGATTGTCACAAATGTGTTACCTACCCAACGAATCCAAATTTTGGGTTTGATCTTTGGTAGGATTATGTTTTCTAGTCTTTGTATCACAGCTTCTGCGATCAAATCTGATGTGGGCGATCTCCTGAGTGTTCCTTTAATTTGTTCTTATATTTGGCCGTTGAATTAGAAGTACGTTGTCAGGTACAAGTTTATGCATTCCATCCAACCTGTGTATTGCCTTTTTTGATTGTTGTGGAAGGTGTTCTTCGTTGCTGAGTTACTGCTCCATAGTTTCATTTGCTAGTTTCTGTCCATCTGATGTATTTAATGATGTGACGTTGAAGGAGACCATTACTTCTTCGTCATCTATTTGAAGGCTTTTCACTAAAGGCAAGTAGCCTAGACGGTGTGAAAACACACAAAAACAACCAATTTTACGTTCATGGTTACCAGCGGGGTTGACAAATAAACTTGTGGAGAATTTTAAGAGCTCACTTCAAATTGAAGTATGCGCTATGATGAGGATGTTGCCTAGTAGGGTAATGAAAGCATCACGAATCATCTATCCATCTCAGAGAACACAATTACATCAAAATCATCCACCTGAACTAGAAATTTCCTCCATTATGTGTTTGTGTATATTTTGTGCTTAACAGCACTTGGTGTTATTGCATGAAATCGCTTAACGCCTTGTCAAATCTTGTTCTAGGATAAATTGGCACTGGCAATTGTCAGCATCGGATGGACTGCATTAGGAATCCCTGTAAGTCGTCTTTTTTAATGATAGTCAATTTTAGTTATCTATTTATGTTACCTAAAGTATATGTATATGCATAAATAAACTTTTGAGTGTGTGTGATTATCAGTGAATAAAGTGAGAAGGTATCAGCTTCAAATGATTCATTCTTGCGTGTCGTGTCACTTAATAAAGAACCTTCATTGGTGGATGATAATCAATATATTAAAAATGCAACAGATACTCTGGGTCACTTTCGAAATTGACTTATACGAAGTCGACCTGACTCTAGAACCATCATCTAATTAAATACCAATCAATAGACCGGCCATTAGATTCGATCGCCGAGTGGTTAAACGACCAACAAATCACCGTATAATCTAATGCTCTTGCGTTCGACCCCTGACAACGTCATGGGTACGTAGTGATGAAGAGTGCCAAACAAGGACGAAGAAGTGTATTTTACAATACTTCCTAGTCGATTTTCAGTGATTCTATCATGATCAAACTTGAAAACCAACACTTGAAAATAAATGAGAAATGGTTATGAAAACAGTTCACAACTTTCCAGATATCGGTTAACCTAGGCCTACTAATTGCATTTGTGTAGATCAGAGATGCGTGGACCAATATATATAATTGAAAACAAATTTAGGCGAAGGTATTTTACAGTATTCATTGTTGAGAAATATCTCATAAAAAATTATTTTCTGACAATTGATTGCTCCACTTCTGCCTTTTTTCATCTTCAATGTCTGTTAGTGTGTTATACTTTGTGGTCAAGCAGCATTGGGTAGACCACAGTTCAGAATAGTTGATGACGATTACTACATGGCTGCATTCTGTGTGCATCTGACGCTCATCCTTCTGCTGTCAGTCATCAATATTGGAATACCATATTTGATATTGGACAAAGTATTAAATAATAATAAAGTTAACCACTTCAAAATGACCTTTTGAGTCATTCAAACTAACGAAATGACAAGTACATTGCACGCAAATCGATGCAAAAACTGACCTTTACTCCTAATATAACTAACTGGCTAATAAATGTTTTACATTCTCAGTTTTAATTTGATTTTGAAAAAGTTTTCAATTGTACCTATCCTTTTTTATAATCATGCATGATTCACCTACAAGTTCTTCAGAAATTTTTTATTGTGATAGCCGATTATGTTTGGATCAATGCAGATAATGTTGGTGAATACAAAGACCTGTGAACAGGTGGTGTGTTAACGATTCCATAATTAAACGCTTTGTAAATACAGCCAACTCTTGTCAGATAAGGTTTATTCTAAAAGTAATAATAATAGTAGTAATATAATGGCTTCAGTCCATAGAGTATTTTTGAAGCAATATGCAATTTCCAGCCTGTAATACAAGATTATCTCTCTCTCTCTCGACCAGAGACAGAAGCCCTTAAACACCTTAGGAATAACAAGGATATAGTAATCACTAAATCAGGCAAAGGAAATACGACAGTAATATTTTGACGACAGAAGACAAGGGCCA